CAGGATGTTGGAAATCCGATTTCGCCTTAACGCTTAGGGATCGAGGGACTTATAGTCCTGACTATTTGGGTGGTTGTCAAAATTCTGGTCCGATTTTGGGTACCCTAAATATTAGGTGCCGTACTATATAAGGGACCCAAAAAGGGGCCATCATTTTGGCAACCCCCCATTTAATTTGCTGCAAGCGATCTTGGATTCGAGGGGAGCAGGCTCGGCCGTCTCGGCTTTTTTGGCTTTAGGCTTTCAGGGGTTGGGCTCTGGGGCTGGAACGCGACGGCCTATCCAACACCCAAGCCGGATACAAAGTCTACCTAGATAGCTGACTAGGGCCACTAGGGATCCAGTGCTGCAATTTTGAACCCAACTGAGCACGAAACCTGGCCTGTGAACTCCCGGCTCCCAGATAAAAGGCCCAAATCTGACCTGGAGCCCCAAACCCCTAAGCCCTTCGGCCGTTGAAGCCAAAGGTCCCGTAAACCCCAAACCCCAAACCTGAAACCCTCAACCCAAAACCCGTAAACCCTAAACCCCAAACCCCAAACCCCAAACCTGAAACCCTCAACCCTTAACCCTAAACCCTCAACCCTAAACCCCAAACCCCAAACCTGAAACCCTCAGCCCTCAACCCAAAACCCGTAAACCCTAAACCGTAAACCCTAAATCCTAAGAGGCCTCCTTGAACTTCGAGGCCGCCCTGGCCTAGAAGCTTCGCGTTTTTTTTGCTCTTTGAGGTAGGGGTTTTTAGGTTGTGTGCTACGGCAGCACTGGGAGTAGTAAGAGTAGGAGTAGGAGTGGGAGCAGGAGCAGGAGTAGAAGTAATGGTAGTGGGAGTAGCAGCAGTAGCAGTAGTAGCAGTAGCAGCAGAAGTAGTAGTAGTAGTAGTAGTAGTAGTAGTAGTAGTAGTAGTAGTCGTAGTAGTAGTAGTAGTAGTAGTAGTAGTAGTAGTAGTAGTAGTAGTAGTAGTAGTAGTAGTAGTAGTAGTAGTAGTACTAAGTAGTAGTAGTAGTAGTAGTAGTAGTAGTAGTAGTAGTAGTAGTAGTAGTAGTAGTAGTAGTAGTAGTAGTAGTAGTAGTAGTACTAAGTAGTAGTAGTACTAGTAGTAGTAGTAGTAGTAGTAGTAGTAGTAGTAGTAGTAGTAGTAGTAGTAGTAGTAGTAGTAGTAGTAGTAGTCGTAGTAGTAGTAGTAGTAGTAGCAGCAGTAGTAATGGTGCTAGTGCTGGTGCTGGTGCTAGTGCGAGTGTCAGTAGTAGTCGTTGTCGTCGTCGTAGTAGTAGTAGAAGTACTTTAACCTGCTAGAATGTGGCGTCTTGTGGGGTGGTCCCATGACAAAGCAAAAGGCAGGTGATGCTCATGGGTCGGGGTACCAAACTGTGTGACTTCTGCCTCCGGCGCAATAGAAGTCGTACAACGCAAGGGGGAAGCTCACAGCAGGCTCTCGTGAAGCCAACCCCCATGACTGTCAAGCCAGAAGCTGTAGCGCCAACCGTATCGGAATATGCAAAGTGCTACCACACCCGAGAAAAGCCCTTATCATCGACTGCACAACTTCGAAGCCCTGAACCTCTGAACGGTTCACGGTGTTTAGGCTTTGGGGCCTGTATTATGCCTTATCAAGGTGAACGGCTCAAAGTTACCAGAAGCCCGATTTGAGGCTGGGGTCGAGGGTGTAGAGCCTAAAGCTGGGGCTTTCAGGGCTTAAGCTTACCGATAACCTGTAACCTGTACGTGCATAATTTAGGGATTTAGGGTTTAGGGTTTTTTACTTGACTTTACAAGGACGACCATCATTTCATGGCACATATTTGGCCATTTGCCCAGCCACATGGTGTAGCGCCGCTTGTGCGGACTGGCCGCTGCCTTAAGGTCGCACGCGCACACGCACACAGACACACAAACACACATGCACACACACACACACACGTACACGCAAAGACAAACACATCTAAAATCTGTACATACACATACGTACATACATACGTACATGAATACTCATATCTGTATTGATATTACGCAGCTATAGTTTCCACATCTACGTAGATATGGGTGGATTGGTGTGGGGACATACATAGCTGGATGGAAAGATAAGACAGATAGGTAGATAGATGCATAGAATAGAAGCGATAGCGAAGATAGCTTACAGATAGATCGACAGGCAGACAGATGGATACTTGCATTGATAGATAGATAGACAGACGGATGGATAAAGAATTAGACAGCTTTCAGGTTTGGGGGCTTTTAGGTTTTAGGGCTTCGGGTTTGTAGGGTTGTCAACGGTGGGAGCGATTGCAGATTCTGAAATGACACACTCCCCGAACCCGTAAATGCTGAGTCCTAAACCTCCAACCTAACCTTCCTCCGCAGCTTCTACGATCCCCAAGGCCCCAAAGTGTCGTGAAATCAGGCACTTGCATAGACCCGAATCTCTCAGAGAGAAAGGCCCTCAAACCCAGAAACATGGCTTGATGGCCTGGGACGGGACACACGTAACCCCCCTGGCGCTACAAAGACCCTGAAGGCCTGGAGGCTCCCCGCCCCTCACATACCTACCATACTACAAGCTTCAGGACTTCAGGCTTTGGGGTTCAGGTTCAGGGTTTCGGGCTCGGTTTGTTATGACTGGCCATCCCTGGAGCAAAAGTCTGGGTAACGGGACGGTCGAGGTTCGCAGCTCGCTCCTGAAGAAGAGCTGTCCGTGGCTTTCAGGGTCTTTGTGGTTTAGGGTTTTAGTGAAACTTTATTGGTCTTGAACCCTTCCTCAACCTAGGCGATAGTGCAGACGTATGGCTTCTATTGCGTGGCACTGTGGCTTCATGCCCTGTAAATAGATGTAAACAACAGGTCGTCATTGTTTGCCGTTCTTGCATGGGAGTCCACAGCTTTGACCGTTTAATGCCGGGGCCTAAAAAATGTCTCGGAACAGGGTGTAAAGCAGACTTATACCTTTGAGAAACTTCTCAGGTTGGACAGGAACCTTGAATCCCAGGACCCTCCTTGTACCCTCAAATAGGGGTATATGGTCCCAAATAAGGGGCATTTAGCCAACCCTAAACCCTAAACCCGGCATTTAGGGTCTAGATGGAGGGTCTAGGTCCGCATCCTGCGCTGTCCCACGCAACCCGCAAACGAGTGCTGGGAGCCGGGGCTCGGCCCGACGGGCCAGCACCAATAATAAGAATAAGAACAATAATAATAATAATAATAATAATAATAACAAGAATAACAAATAATAACAAGAATAATAATCATAAAAAATAATAATAGTAATAATAATAACAACAACAACAACAATAATAATAATGATGATAATAATAATAATAAATAATAATAACAAGAATAACATGCAAATAATAACAAGAATAATAATCATAATAAAAATAATAGTAATAATAATAGTAATACTAACAACAGTAATAATAATAATATTAGTAGTAGTAATAATAATATGGGGGTTTCCGAAAAAAGGGGGGATCAGAATATAGCACCCTAAATAGGTAGGATCCTTATTGTAAGGACCCCCAAATAGGGTTGCCCTCATTTTCGGAAGCTCCCATATCGCCTCGACCCAAAACACCGAAACAGCGAACCTTGGCACTGCCCGAATCCTCCTGCGACAGGTCAAGAACGCCCTGTTGAATGTGTGGATGAGCTCTACGTGGACAGACGGAGTACGTCCCTAGCCGCCCTAAACCTTCGACAACACCTGGACTCTAAACCATGAAGGCCCACACCCAGTTACCGCAAGACGTCAACCTGGAGCCGTCCTAACCGGAACACGTCAGGGGATTTCCTTGATGTGAGCCCTTTTGTCCATCAACACGCACGTACACTCCGAACCAAACACGCACCAACGCCCTAAACCCCTGAAAATTACATCTTGCAAGCCTGAAGCTCTAGTTTAAAACACTCGAGCCACGACCCGCCGAAAGCCCCACGCTCCGCACCCACCTCTGTGCGGAGCCCTTCGAGGACGAGCCAAGCGCAGCGTCCTGCGCAAGTTGTGCTTCACAGTTTAGGGCTACTAAGCAAACCACCAGATACTGCGCCGAATTACGAGCAAGCCCGCAATGTTCCAGACCCTGCCGAGCCCACATGTTGCAGCCCTTTTGAAACCCGAAATTGCGCCTACGCACACCAGTGACCCCAAACTTTCCCATAAATCCCTAAGCTAAACCTCAAGCCTGAAGGCTCTTTCCCGCCCAAGGGCCTGCTGAGGCGGGAGCGTCTGCCATAATGGCAGGGAGCACGGCCCTATTAAATAAGTAACCTTGGATACAGTACCTAGGTCCAAAACCTCACGCGCTAAGGCACTGTGTTCTATCTCGGGGACTCTTTCGCAACTCTTTTGCGATCGTGCAGAGCGTAGGGCAACCCGAAGAAACCCTTGGCCCTTGGCTCTCGCTCAAATTACTGGGTTTGCGGATCGCAACATTCAGCCCTCAACCCCGTAAGCCCTGCGAGGCCTAGACAATAAAAAAGATCCTGGAAGCTGCCCCGTGCTCAGCAAAGCCATGTTATTCTGCTGTCACTAAACTGTCCCCCATGTTTTGTCGCCCTAGCAAGTATACGCCTTACGAGCAGCTTGGGGTCAGAAGCAGCGAAGCAAGGGAGGCATGAGCTTTGCATGCGGCGTCTGACTCGGAGAGGGGGCCTAAATCCTCAAATTCAAAAGCGAAAGCCCTGAGGTTAAGGTTCTAGGGCTTAGGATAGTTCAGGGCTTTTGGATTACATGGCTTTGGGGCTTAGAGTTTTGGGCATCACGGCCTGAGCCTGGAGGCCCAAGGGCCTCGGGTATCAAATCCACATCGCAGCTACGAGTACACCTTTTTTGAGTTGACGGGCAAGGACCTGCTCGTCAAGTATCTCTAGTAGTTTTCCTAGTATTCGTAGTATTAGCAGTATTAGTCGTATTAATAGTATTAGTAGTACTTGTGGTATCAAGAAAAAGCTCGGTGGCCTCGATCGCTGCACCTCTCTTGCATGTGCGAGCCGCTCCACCGATGTCAATAATGAAGGTCATCCTTCCAGATTCCCCGAACTTGCAGACTGTTGTGGAAGGTGCCTTCCAGAACCTCGAGCTTGAACATCTTCACGAGGTCATCTGGCCTGTTCCAGCGAGACAGCGGCTTCTTGGCTTCGATCCGGTACTTCGCTGTGTCGGCAGCCATGTGCCAGTGGACACCATCTTTGGAACAGTAGACCCGACAGTGCACTTGCTCTGGCATGTCCAAGGCGAAGGAGAGGCCCGTGAGATAGATAGAATCATAAGGAAGAACCCATGAGATTGAACCAGCCGCTAGCTTGAAAGGCTTGCGATTGCTGGCATACATCTCCAATGGCTTCGGGTTGTCTGCATGAAAATGTGGAACTGTCCGTCCAAAAACGACATTCATGTACGAACTCAGAAATTGTGGTGGATGTCCTCCTTCGGTTTCTGCCACCCTGGTGCAGTCATTCCACATTGCCTTGAAGAGATCATCTTCGTGGACTGCCGCAAGGTGCTCTTGCGAAAACTCCCATGCCGGCCCATGTTCAGACGTAAAGCGCCTAAGCTCATCCTCCATGCGGCCCAGGTGTCTCTCAATGGTCGGCTGCAGCGGTGACGGAGAAGTCGCTTGCTCACCAGCTTTCCGCTTCTTGCAGCTCCATCCTTGCAAAAGGGCCTGCACTTCGGAGTTGTTCATGCAGATGAGGCAGGGCCGCAGGATCTCCTCCAGCATTTCCGGGCTTATGCTCGGGCACTCTTTCAAGGCTTCTGCGGGATGGATCCAGATCTTTTCCAGCGCCATCCTTCTCAAATCTGCCAACTGGAAGCGCGCAGCAGCGGCAAAGAGCTCGCAGGCATTCGCCGGGCTCAGGCCCTCCCGGAGCGCCTCCGTACAAAGCTCCAAGAGACGCTTCACCTGGTACTTGTCCGCCATCGAAGACACTTCCACTAAGGTTTCAAGAGGCCCCCGTGCCACCCCCGAGTAGAGAAAACGAAGAAAGATCTCCACGGTTCCACTGGAGAAGTCAGAAATGACCACCTGGGCCTGCTGGCTCTCCAGAAAGGCCTCAGAGTTCAACATCTTGTCGAAGACGGCGGACCACCCGGTCAGCAACGAAGCCCAGACCTTAAACTCCACGCGCTTGACGCCTGACCTGCCACTATCACTATCCCCAATCTCGGGCTCTTCCACCACCACGGTGAAATCGCCACCCTTGCCGAAGCAATCCTTGAAGATGCTAGCAGCAAAGGCGCGATCCTCTGCCATGGCTTGGTCCATGGCTTGTCTGTTGCAGGGCACCCCAAACCCTGGCCCGAAACCCTAAACCCGAAACCCCCATAAACCCTAAACGCCTAGTTTAGGGTTTAGGGTTTAGGACTGAAGATCAAATCGGTATGGAAACGCTCTTGTACAACCACAGAGCCCAACCCACTTCGGTTTTGTCATTTCCTTGTTCCGCTTCTGCGGTCTTGAACGCGGACTGCATGGTTCATGAGGCTGATGGTTGCCCAGCACAAAGATCATAAGCTTCACATGAAATGTGAGTGAGCTTTCAGCACTGCTTCCCTCTTCCGTTTGAATGAACGAGCAGCTAGCAGCTAGCACACTTGACCTCAGGCCTTTCAGCACATTCCTCAATCCACACACATGCCTAAAACCTGAACTTCGCCACCCCAACCTCAAAACCTAAACCCCAAACCGCTGGCGAAGCTTTCTCCGAAATCGCTGCGGCTGTACTGCCCATGCGTTTGCTCCCGTGCGTGATCGCTCTGTGGAGCCAGGGCACAAATGCCCGAGAGTGAGTCTTGGGCCTAGGGTTTGGGGATAAAGGGCTGTTTGGGGCTCCGGGTTAAGGGTCTCAGGCTATTGGCTGGTTTATTGGGTTTTACTGCATGCTTGTGACCAGGACCATGATTTGGACGAGGCTGAAACGCTTGACTTTTTAAATTCGGGGTGTAGGATTTAGAAGGTGGACTTGCTTCGTGTGCACTCACACTTGGCTGCAGGCTGACTTCTAGGGCTAGGGATTGAAGTTTCAGTTTCAGGTCTTCCCCATGATCCTAAGAAGCCTAAACCCTAAACCCCAAAGCTACCCCTTAGATCATCGATGGCCACTACCCGCGCGCGACGAGCTGCTTGGCCAGCTGCGTGCGGCGCCGCACCTAACGAGCCGGGGCTAAGTAGTCTGGGTCAATGCGCCCCTTGCCTCACAGGCCCCATCTGGAGTCAAGCCCCTTGTACAGTGTGTATGGATAGATAGACGGAGATACAGAGATACAGACTGGGACAGAGACAGCTAGAGGGAGAGAGACGACCTAGACATGGAAAGATGCTCGAGAAACTAACAAGCGCTCCCCGCTTTGTGACAGCTTCAGCGGTTGCCGGCAGTTTGACTGTGGATAGGAAGGTGCTGAAACCCCGAAACCTACATTTCCGGTTGTGGTGTAAGAACATGTAGGACGAACACTTGAAATCCTCCTGAACGCTGCAATTTCGTTGTCTCTGGACTGCCCTCCGCTCGAGCAGACAAGACAGGGGCCGAGAAATCAAAGTCTCTACCCCCTTGTCCCTGTTCGATCAACATGCCTCCTCCATGTCCACAGACACTTTCAGAGCCTGCAGAGTGGCTTCGGCTTTAAGGCCCCATCCCCTCAAGATCCGAAGCGCTAGACCCAGGGTGTAGGACGAAACATCAGCGAAACCCCCGTGATGTAGGTTATATTTAACCCATACTTTGTGGTGCTTGCAGGGATTTGGGATTGAGGGTTTCAGGATTGGCTTCAGGGGTTTGAGGCTGCGGTTCCAGGGCTCAGGTCATGCGCGACCAAAGGCCTGGGTTTTATCAAAGGAGGCCAAATGCAACGGGAATTCATGGAAGTCAGTCATCCTCTACGGTGCAAAGAGCGATGAGGGCAGCTAAGACTTCAAATCTGGCTACCGTTCTATTGTCTCGGAGTGCCGTGGCTCGTGCAACATCCTAAACCCTCAAGCCCACACACCCGAGACGTTAAGAACGGGTGCTTGGAGTAGAGAATCTCAGAGCAATGATGCTAGATGCTAGATGCAAGCGCCCTGAAACCCTTCATGCCTGAGCCCTAAAAACCCTCAAGTTTAGCGAACCCCAACGACAAAAAACTGCAAATCTGAAAACAAAGCAACGACCGAAGCAAGACAAACGAAGTCGGAAGCCTTGTCGGCTGCCATCTGAAGCATGCAGCTGCCCACCGCCTTGCGTTAGAGGCGGGAGGTCGAGGATTCTAGGATCTTCGGAGGCATAGGGCTTAGGATTCTATGGTTCAGGGCGTCGAGTCCATATATAAACCCCCCTTAAAAGGAAGCCCAGTAAAATGCGTATGCGTATGTGTTTTTTGGGGGTCCCTCATTTTAGGGCTTCAGTAACTTCAGTACGGACTAGGAGGGAAAGCCTTGCATAACGAGGCTCAGGGTCCGGGAGCAGCAGGTGAGGCTCGATTCTCAGTGGGAGTGAGCCTGGCTCTGGAAACATAGAGGTTGCTGAGACAATGCAACCTTCCACTTTTGCAGAGAGAGGGCATTTAGCCATTTAGCGTTTCTACGGGCTCAGGACTCAAGGCACAAATGTGTTGCTATTGTCGAGCAGAGATCAGACAGTGGTATGAACGGCCAAAGGTATGTAAATTGTAACCCAGCACGCCCTCCAAGCCAACATGGAACCTGAGAACGGTCCGCTTACAGCCTTGAAGGCTGCTGCCATTCTCGATAGGGTGATTTGGGAGTTTCCGAAATTAGGGGTATCTTATTTAGGAGTCCTTATAATAAGGATCCTACTATTTGGGGTACTATATTAGGGTCCCCTATTTCCGGAAACTCCCATTTTGCGGCTGACTTACAGAGTTAGGGCAGTTAGGGTAGAGCACTAGCTCTGTCGGCGCCATCTCCAGCCGGACATTTTCCTGCGACCTGGTCCTGGTTAGCTCCAGGCATCCACTTCTACCAGGTGAAGTCCTACAACGTCTCCTGTCATGTAGAGTTTAGGTTTTTTTTGAACTCCTTGGGTTTAGGGTTTAGGGTTTAGGCTCCACTTTCGCGAAACGGACGCCTTGGTGTCAACAAACTGACACGAACCGTCTACTTTGCTCTGAAGTCCTCTTCAAACCCTCAACCGCCTCAACCCTAGCAGGCCCTGTCAGGTTGATGCAGCCCGCGTAAAGACCCTGTAAGGGCCAGAGTGCTCCTCAGGTGACATCAATAAGCATCTGTCAAACTGTGACTTTTCCAGAAAGCCCCTTCGAACCGCCAGAGCATGATACAAAGCCACGCATTCCGGACCTGACAACCCTCAACCCGAGTTGAACGATCCAAGGAAAACACATGTGAAATCTGAAGTCTGCTTGCAGCAAGGGTTAGGTTTGGAGTGTAAAGATTTCGCACACATAGTAGGGCTGTTCGACGAGGACTACTACAGCTACTACTTCTTCTGCTGCTGCCACTGCTGCAGCTTGCAAGGTCGAGGATTGGGGGCTGGCCCGTCTCAAAGCCTTCACAGCCCTCTCAGAGCTGCCGTTGCCAGAGCGATGTCGCAAACTCTTATGGAGGATAACGACTCAGCACATGGAAAAGTCCAGCCGAGAATCAAAGTCCCTGCGCAAAGCCGAAACAAAGACCCCGAAATCTCAAACTCTTTAACCTACCGCCCGGAATAATGAACTGCACACTTCCGATCCGCACCAAACCCTGCGCGACCTCCAGCTGCTTCGGTAGCCGCGCGTCGTCCTGGAACAGGACGAAGTGTGGGGCACACAACCCAAAACCTTCACTTGCAACTCCCTCGACCCTCTTCAAAACCCCAAAACCTTCACTCCTGCAAAATTTTGACTCTAAGCACCTAGCTTCCTTCATTAACCCTGCAACCTTTGCTTCTTACACAGATCCTGTTGGTCATTCATAGGAAGGTTTATAGAGTCTATCGAGTTACGGGGTTCGGATTTGGGGATGTAAGTTTAGGGTTCGTATTGAGTCCCGGAGTTTAGGTTTGGGGTATGGGATATACAGCCGAGAGTTGAGGAACATCTGTGTTTAGGAGAGTAGGTTCACAGCTCAAGGGTTCAGGGTGTGCTTAGGGTTCGGCAACGGCAGGCGGCTCAGCGTTAGGAAGTATAAACCCTCATCAAATCCTGTAAACCTTGACGACGCCGTTACAAAATCCCTAGGAAACCCTTTCAAAACCCTGAAACCCGTATAGATTCCCCCTAGCACCCCAAAACCCAAGGGGTCCTGGCCCTGGCTCGCCAGCGTGCCCGCGGCCTTGTCCAAGGGAGCGCGGCAGCGGGAATCCACGGCCTTGAGGAGGGCGCCGGCACCTGAAGAGGAACGAATCAGAATCTATAAAAAAAGCTCTTGGAAGGATCCCTTGCTCGTTTACATGGAGAAAAAGGTACGGGGGGCTTAGGGGTTATCATGTAGGACTCTCTTTGGGGGATTCTTCCGAAGGTCGTGAGGATTTTCTCCGGCAGAAGCCGGAATGTGGGTTACAGTTTGCATTGTTTACCATGTCGTTGTGGCCTCACGTGTTTATCACTCGTTTTGTCATTTGCTTGTCATCTCCATGTCACTGTCCGGCAGAAAAGAGAGCAGATGCAAAGCATGAAACCCAGGGATCCGGAACATCGGCGTCGCTGAGATGCCGGGGAACACTTCCAGACAGGAAATGTTTCCCAAGATGATATTCTTTACAAAACTCTCAAGCCCAGGGAAGCTCAGAATTCCGGAAATTCTGCGAATCCTTGCTTTGTGCATGCGAGTTGCCCGAGCTAGGGCTTCCACCGTCGTAAGGCCGCACGGGAAAATACGTAGCTGCAGCAATTACCCCCTGCAACCTTAACCTCGAACTGTAATCGTAACCCCGAATCCCTTAACGGAACCCTCATAAATGTCGGAAACCTTACACTCGTTGTAAACACACCTCGAAACCAGATTTTAGTCACTGGTTGAGCCGTGGCACAGGCATTCTCCAGCTCAAAGCTGTCGCCGCAGACCGGATACCACTTCCTTGGCTCTGACATCTACACCTAAACCCTAACCCAGGGTTTAGGGTTTAGAGCTAAACCCCAAACCCTGAACCCTACACCCTGGAGCGAATTTGCACAACGACACGAGACTGGAGCTGTGTAGCCCAGCTTCTGCATCTCCAGGGGATCCAGCTTCCCATGCTTCATGCACTTCCTCGAATGGAAGAAGCCAGGGCTTGGGGACTAGCGTTTAGTTAGCAGATTTCACGGATTAGGGCTCAGGGCTTCGGGATAAGGGCGTGGGGTGTCGAATCTCAAGCCAGGAGATGCATTGAAATTTCTGAGACCGAACCGGGGTTGACGGCTGCCATAATACAGCGACGACTAGAGGGGATGGAGAGGGGTTGGCGGGACTACTGTAGTACACTTATCAGCTTTACTAAAGGCCCGATCTAAGTCTACAGTGTATTGTGGATGTTACTCACCAGTTTACTGACCTCCGCTGACTTTGCAGTACCGAGCATCTGGTGCTCCCGCCGGTAGTCCCCACAGTGTCGCTCGAACAGCGCTGCGTACCTTGTTGTCATTGATTCGCTTGAGTTCATCCTCGCAGTCCGTGCTATGCAACTTGCCAATAATGCCTCTGCTACTACGGCTGCATGTCGTAGTGGCTTAAGTCTTAAACTCGAGATATAACTACGGCTGCATCGACTAGTTACGAAAAAGCAGCATTCCGATTGTGTTCATCAGCCCATTCCTCAAGCCTTTCCATGCAGCGACAGGCTCCTACCGCAGAGCCTCCTCGACAACAGTAGGTCATAACCTCAGAACCGTACGTGCAGGGTAGCGCCTAGCGTATGGGATCCACGACCACCCTCTCCTTTAGCAAGGGGAACTCTTAAAGGAATCCCTTTGAAGGAACCCCGTACCTCGCCTTCAGTAAGGGGAACTCTTAAAGGAATCCCTTGAAAGGAACCCCGTACCTCTCCTTTAGCAAGGGGAACTCTTAAAGGAATCCCTTTAAAGGAACCCCGTACCTCTCCTTTAGCAAGGGGAACTCTTAAAGGAATCCCTTGAAAGGAACCCCGTACCTCTCCTTTAGTAAGGGGACTCTTAAAAGGAATCCCTTTAAAGGAACCCGGTACCTCTCCTTTAGCAAGGGGAACTCTTAAAGGAATCCCTTGAAAGGAACCCCGTACCTCTCCTTTAGTAGAAGGAATCCCTTGAAAGGAACCCCGTACCTCTCCTTTAGCAAGGGGAACTCTTAAAGGAATCCCTTGAAAGGAACCCCGTACCTCTCCTTTAGTAAGGGGACTCTTAAAGGAATCCCTTTAAAGGAACCCCGTACCTCTCCTTTAGTAAGGGGAACTCTTAAAGGAATCCCTTGAAAGGAACCCCGTATGCCATCCCAAGAGCTGTTGGCCGTAGCCCTGGAGGCAGAGAGGAGCCGAGGCCGCGCCGCTGGCCTGAGGCATCGGGTTGAGAGTTTGAGCGTCCTTAGGGATTAGGATTTAGGGTTTGTAGATTTCAAGCTTTGAGGGTTCAAGGTTTAGGGTTCAGGGTTTGTAGATTTCAAGCTTGTGGGATTAGGGTTTAGGGTTGGGGGTTCAAGGTTTTAGGGTTTCTGGTTTATAGATTTCCAGCTTTTGAGATTAAGGTTCAGGGTTTAGGGTTCAGGGTTAAGGGTTTGTAGATTTCCAGCTTGTGGGATTAGGGTTTAGGGTTGAGGGTTCAGGGTTAAGGGCTTGTAGGTTTCCAGCTTGTGGGATTAGGGTTTAGGGTTGAGGGTTCAAGGTTTAGGGTTTGTAGATTTCCAGCTTGTGGGATTAGGGTTTAGGGTTGAGGGCTCAAGGTTTTAGGATTTCTGGTTTGTAGATTTAGGCGTCACGGCTCGAGAAAAGTTGGTGTGCCCGTCTCCTGTGGAGTTGGTAGCGCCTCTTTTTATTCCTGACCCCAGCGCCATTGGCGCGCCCGTGCTGGTTCTGCGGCAGCCACACGACGGGCTTTGAGCCCACCCCCGTCACTGTCATTTACTTGGCTGACGTGGGGACTCCCGGGAGAGCGTTTCTCCCTTGCAGTTTGTATGAAACAGAGCAAGCTGTATACGCCACTGATCCCGTTGGCAACGATCGGTGTCGCACTTATATACGTCGGCACACCACCGTGCCGCGACTCTTCTCATCGTGAGGCGCAGGCGGTGCGCCAGTCCTGGGTGGCATCGTCGTCTTCGACGTTTACGCTCCCAAGCGAGGAGAAGGTTACATCGAGGCTCTGGGAGAGCCTCCGATATAGTGCTTCTACGACAGCACCACGGCAGTATGCCACCGAAGGCTGCATCGGAAAAGCAGCCTCGATCCAGCAAAGGATCTCAGAAAGGGGAAGCACAACAGTCGACGAGGATCGACTTTGGACTACCCCCGGCGGTCTCGACCTCTCTCCAATCGATATCGTCGAGGGCGACTCAAGATTTATGGCTTCAAACAGCTTACAACCAGGAAGACGCCACAGCCGAGCAGTTAGCCCAAAGGAGAGCCAACGCGCTTTCCAAACTCTCGAAACGCTTGACAGGGAATGTCAAGGCAAAGGACGAGCTCTCTACCTCCCTTTCGCAGTGGATGATGACGATCGGACAGCATCTTATTGGGTTGGTAGGCCGCACGCGTGCCATTTGCGCCAAGATCGACGAGGATACCCTTCAAGCGATACAGGAGATGCAGATGGCATTAGCAAACCAACCCTCCATGACGTCGGCAGACAAGGTTGCTATCGCTCAGTCATCAGTGGGGATGGTGTGGACGGACGTGCAGGAGCTCGAGATCCAACGAATCGCAGCGGCTATTCGCGCCTTCGCTGCAGTGGGGCCCAATGTCGCAGTGCCTGCTCACCTGACGCAAGAGACGCCGGGTGTATCTTCCTCAGCAGCTACGATGGCAATGGGCGACCCGACACTGCTTTCCTTTGGTGGCGCTGCGGTCCGAGCATTCGAACCTCGACTTCACGACAATGGTTCCGAGGCCAGTTTTGGACGTACGGACGGCCCCGCCTTCTTGCCAGGTGCAGGTGCCGACCTTTCAGGTGCCGGTTTGCCCAACATGCCGGCCGCCTCGATGGAGGCTCCTGCCACGTCTATGCCACTCGCTGTGGGCGGGCGGTGGCGCAAACGCAGCAGCGGAGGCGCAGACAGGCCATCCAAAAGCCCCAGAAGGACTCCTCACCCAGCCGAACCGTGGATACAACCTTCCACAGGCAGGACGCCCGAAGGCTTTCGCCGTACCCCACAAGCCGAGCTTGGCGAAGCCCTCGAAGAAACACCAATGGAATCTACGAAGTCGGCCTGGGTTGCTTCTTGGTTGGCTCTTCTCCGGTTTGCTGTCGACAATGGAGCCGAGCCAGTTGGGGAAGTCATCTCCTGCCCTGCGCAAGACGCGATCTTGCCGTTGGTGGAGGACGACCAGGTGGAGGATGCTGTTGTTCAAGCAGGCGATCAGGCATGGCAGCAACTACAGGTGATTACAAGCAATCCGGAGCCCGGCAACTTCATGTCTGTCTTCAGAGCGCTCCAGGACGTCTTGTTTCAGGTTCGACATTGTGCCAATGCTCTGCCACGCCTTCCGCAGGGCGTCCTTGTTGCGGCTCATGTTTCAGTAGGTGGTCTTCTCGACCCCTATGCATACGCACCGGCAACTTCCCAGGAATGGCTGCATCCGAGCCTGCTTATAGAGCAAGGAGTGACACTTCGAGGGTTCATTGCGAACGTAGCCTCGACCAATCCCCACGTGCAAACCACTCTCCGGCTCCCGCCCCCGTTCATGACAGCAGATCCGACCGAGGCCGCTCCTGCTTTCGAATGAACCCCACGCCACGGTGGACTAAGACCATTTGTCGGTTGTTAGTCTTTTGTGGGGTTTATAGTATCGCGCCTTGGCTTTTTCTAGTGCATTGGCTTACGTGGAAGATGCAGAACACGGCGAGGCATGCGCCCTCCCGAGTAGGCAGACGAAGCGTCTGGCGGGGTGCCCTAGGGCCAGACACCGACCTCTATCAGGCTTACCGTGTACGGTTGTGGCACGCTCCTGGGCGGTCTTGCATTTCTCAAGGCAAGGCCACTCAGGCGCCAGGTTCAGCGACCCGTGTCTTTGGCCGGAGGTTTCGGGCTTTGTGTATGCTGTGGTTGTGTTGCACGCCGACGCATGCGGTCCAGATATGGCCTGTCAATCGCGTTCAGGGACAGCCTGTGTTTACCACCAGCCATGTGCCGGACACACGTGATGCCTCACAGCTAGCCCCGGCCAGATTCCCTGGTAGCCAGCTTAGTGACCCTGCACTTCTTCAAAGGCCTATGCCGCTGCGCGACATCTGCGTTTTTGCTCCGACTTGTGCTCGTTGCCCGCAGGTGCTACACGTCGATGACAGAGTGCATGGAGCCCTTCTGTGTCGTTGGGTCTGCGAGGCCATGGGGTTACAAGTTGGGGATTGGCACTGGCGCCGGCAAGTTCATGTCCTGCCTTCTATGCCGCCTGAGCAATATTCGCTAACCGAGGTTACACTGCCGTGGTTCCAGGTTAGAGTTCCGGTTGACCTTAGACCGATTGGCGGAACGGTTTCCTTTCAGCTGGCTCACCGCAACTCACCATGTGCCATTGTTGTCCAGGAAGCCATTGCCTCCCAGCGTCTTTCGGCAGACAGTTCCAGCTTCCTATGCCGGGTGGGGGATGCTTGGTTCGTTCCACAGGCACGGGTTCTGCTACTGCCTAACGGCGATGCACTTCAAGTGTGGCCAAGCTATATAGCTCCTCGGCCCTCATGCCCAAGTCAATCAGGCTCACTCTCCCCTAGGTTGTCCCTAGAGGATGTGTTTTCCACGAGCCTGACGCTGCCGGGAGTTTCGGAACTAGCCTTCCACCAAGAAAGTGGGGCCAACGCTGTTGTGATCTACCCACAGGGGCTCTTCTTTACATTTGCTCCCACTTTTGCCGATCACTACACGATTCGTACCAGGGTGTTCGAACGCTTTCTTGCGGAAGTTCTATGCGGCAGTTTTGATAACGGGCAATTCTGCCGGATCCTGCCCCCGCTGGAGCAGCTACCTGCGGTCCAATTTCTAGCCATGCAGTGCCACCCTCCGCAACAGCCAGGTCTTTTAGACCTCCGGCCGCTTGGCGGAGGGTTGATTACACGAGCGATGCAGCCGAGGGCTTCACCTGTCAGCCGACTCCGTGACGCTGTAGCGGCATATGGAGAGCCGGTCCCTACCATGTCTGTTCTGACCATGCTGGCACAAGGGGAGCTGCGGATTCTCCACCGCGAGCAAGTGGTCGATCCTCATCTCGCGCTTGAGGCCACTGCTCCAGCACCACTGATACTTATCCGCCGGAGCCCGGATGCTTCAGTCTCTAGCTCTGCGCACAGGGCTTTGTCAATAGTATATATCTTGTTTCTCGGGAGCTTACGACCCAACGACCTCTGGGGATTTGTTGCTGTCAGTGTCGGCTTGGCCACCTTCCTACCACCAGAACCGGACGTATGTGAAGACGTCCTGCCTGTGTTTGCAGTTGATGTCCATGCACCACCTCCGATCCCACCAGACGGTCTGGCTGGTGTGACGGAACACCAACGCCTGGCGCAACGTTTTGAAGGCCTTGGTGATTGGCCCCATGCGGACTGGCGAAGCACTCTTGGACTAGGTGACTTCCCCTCTCGCAGCTTCTGTGCCAGGGTGTATGCGCCAGCTACCACGCTAGGTTTCTACTTTTCTGGCACACATTCGGCTAG